ACTATTAAGAAATAGAAACCATGTACCGTGTTTCTATCAAGTTCTAGAAACACGATTGTTTAGGAGAATGACAAATGCTGTGGAAACATGAGCCGACAGCTGACAGGTGAGTGTTTCCACAGCTTTTTTGAGGTCTCCCAAACTTCCACGAGTGTTTCTAGAACTCGATAGAAACACAGAGAACAAGTTTTCTATTTATTTTAGAAAATTCTGCAGTGAAAAAATGAAAACTGGTTTACTTTGATCATAAAACTGTTAAGTCTCTTTGCTTGTACCATCATTATATCAACAGCTTGTGCTGGTTCTGTGTTTCTATCAAGTTATACATGTAGCAACACGATTTTAACCCAATCAGCGCATGCATTTTGCAATTAACAATATCTGTTATTACTTATTACTTGTGGTTATAATGTATTTAACCTTTTATTACTAATAGAGATCAGTGTGGCATTGAAGAAAAAGGGAAGATTAGGGAGGTAATCACAAAAAGGATAAATTGCCTTGCACAATAAGTACACATACCTCGTTCTTTTTGTTACAGTTTCAAGAGCTTTTGCCTTCAAGTAATTTTTCACAATTTTTTCTGCAGCTCTATTCGATTTATGGATAGCTTTAAATCTCTGTTCCTTTCTTGCAGCCTGGTGGAAATACAAAAAAAAAAAGAAAAGAAAAGAAAACATCAAATTACTTTAAATTAAGTCAAAATTTTTCTGTAGCATGTGCCTCAGGAGGCAAGATTGGGTGCTCTTGCCTGCTCGAGACTTCCTACTGTAAGTATGGTGTCCTGTATGCCATATACATGTAATAAATCTTTTATTGACTAAGCTTGTTCAAATGGTAAAGAAATCTGGAAATTGGCATACAATGGAGATCTTTATTTTCGTGTTTATGGACATTGACCTCATGCTTGGTAAATAACACATAGTTATTGTTACCAGTGTCTTTTTCTTGAGATGAGGGACTCCACCATCAAAGACAAAAACTGGTTTAATCCTGTAATACAACAGTTTGCAGACACGACTGAACAAGCCAACCAGATGTGCATTGGGAACTGGGTTTCCGTGCTTGTCACGCATTCCCTTCACAGACTGATTCAGTAACAGACTGGCATCTGAGTAATGTCAAGGTTAAGTAACTTAAACACAGGGATCATGACTACCAAAAGGCATCCACAATTGAGTGTCGATCGATACCCTCAATGAACAGTCCATTGACATCTCAATCGACACTCACTTGATTTATAGTTGGTCAACAGTTAGCCGAGTGTTGACCGACTCATAGGTATTGATCAACACTTGATGACATGTCTGCGGAAATTAGTTGATTCTCGACTGGCTGTTGACTGAGATGTTGATCGAGTGTTGACCAAATATTGATCAAGATGCCAATTGAATATTGATTGAGATGTCAATCAAGTGTTGATTGAGATGTCGATCAAGTGCCAATCAAGGGTCAATTGGGGGTATCAATTGATGCTCGACCCTGGAGGCCTTTAGTACAGATGATCTAACACATGTCTAATGCAACGATGACATCACTACCTGTCCTTTGTCAACTTCTGCTATACAAATTTTTCCTACTAGAGGTTAATGAGCATGGATAGAGGTCAGAATAGAATAAGCTAAGACCCATAATATTTTATGCATAATAAATCTTGCCAGAACAGGTGCTACATAAATGTTCTAACTCTCTCAGATTGTCTATGAGTCTCCAGGATGAAGTCAGTCTCTCGGATTCACATACATGCCTTGGTTTGGTTCCTAAAACTTCTGCATACAGAGGAAAGTACGTAAAGTACGTATCACCAGCCTTTTTGGCCGATCTGCATGGGCAATTTCGGGGTAAAAGTTTCGCATCTTTGACGATCCTGATCTAGAAATCAGTCGAAAGGAGCCTTTATTTTTGACCCGCCAATCTCTGGGTTCTACAAAGAACTACTTTCAAGTAAAACTGACGATCCACCCGGATTTGGACATTTTTCATTTTCTAGTGCTGTTGTTTACAGTTTAGGCCCCATTGTCTTGCATCGCGTGCTGAAATTTTTTTCTTGATTATATAGCTAGCTTCTTGTACGAACGAGCCAATTGTTCACAAGTGAAAATGTGTCAGGCTTTGTTATATAACAAGCTTTATGCAAAGGATACCAACTCCAAGAACTTTGTTCTCAAGAGATTCTAATGTTACTGGCCGGCCAACAGATTCCAAGAGCTGCCAAAGACCTTTCACCCCCATCACAGCTTTGCAAACATCAACTTTTCCATAAAGATTTCAGATCTTACGATACATCTATACCAAAAATAAATAGTTCCGTCTGTGTCGATTTGATAACGCGATTTAGAAAGTGCTACGAGGAAATTCTAACCATCGAAAAAAGTCTTCGACGTCGTCCATCTTGGAACTTTCTTGAAAAGTTAACCGCTGGTTGTTTTGCTCACATTTAACCTCGTTTCCAGGAGTCTCATTGTGTCTCACGCTTTGCAACGAGGCTGTGCGTGGGTGGGAGGTGAATCTTTTAGAGTTTTCTAGATCTCAGTAGCGTGACATTACGTCGTGTCTATGAAAAGACACTAATTCTTTCGTTTTCCCTTTCGCTAACTACCAGTAAACAAGCTTTTAGCAGAAACAAAGGAAATATAACATAGGAATAAATTTAGCGAGGCAAAGATAAAGGTTGTTTTGACGAAAACAGTTATGTGAGTGGAAAAAAGCACATTTGTCACGCTTTAGATTTTTGCCCACCGAGTTCATTCGTATATAATTTGTTGATTTTATTATTCCTGTAGTAAAACCTTCAATTCATTCTGTAGGATTACACTGCACTTTCCTAGAATGTACAAGTTAGCCATTTTTAGTAATCTCGACTTCATACCAGGGAAAATACTAAAGAAAAATAATTTCTTGCTGAATCTGAACGCCCCCACCCACACCAATCGGAAATCAAAATGTTTTATTCCTGTGGCTAGGTGGCAATCGCATGACTCCAACTGAAAGGGAAAATCCCTCGTTAGACAAGTCATTGACTTCCGTCAAAGGGCCAACCGTTGAACAAGCCGAGAGTGTTTTAAGAGATTTTGTTTATGTTTCAAAGTGCTTGTCCTAAAAAGGTCACGTTGAGTCGACCAAGGAAAACGTGACTCGTCTCAGCGCTCTTGAACACACGTACACGAACTTAACACCACACTCGAAAGTCGCCGCCCTTTCCATAACATCGACAAACACTCAGAGAGAAAACAAACCTTTATTAGGCCATACATGAAGATTTCTTCATGATGACCCGTTTTTGGTAACCACAAGCCTTTGTGAGTGTGTCGGGTGACGGGAGGGGAGGGTGGGGAAAGAGTAGAACTGCGTTTTGCCAGCACCTTATTTCTTTGCATATTACATCACATATGTTTATGCCAGAATGAGTAATTTCTGTAAATGAAGAAGTCAAATTTAAACAGGAGAATGTTTAATCAGTTCTTTATTGTCTCAAGCAGGAATCTCAGTGTCCGCGACCTGTAAAATGCCTCCGCTCTCCATTTTATCAGAAATTTCTTTTTTCCTTTGGTATCAGTTGATAATAGCTATTACATCATCGTTAATAAAAGAAAATTTATTCTGAAAATGCAAGATGTTGGAATCGCGGGATTTTACATTATTCAATGCCAAAATAATAAATTTCAAATTCGAGGTCGGTGCGCGTAGGTTACGGGCGAGAGATGTTGTCACTTCCGCGGCGACTTCTGGATGCTACAGCGCATACCCTTTTTTAGAAGCAAATCAAATTTTCAGCGATTATAAATATCTGGTTAGATGGTTGGCAATTCATTCACTGCCAGTTCCAGTCCGGAATACAAGCTGATCAAGAATTTTATCAAGTGCTCAGGACATCGGAAGACTTGTAACCGAAATGGAAAGTTTCTTGGACCCCAAAGTAGAACAGCTACTGGCCAAGAAATCTGACACAGAAAGATTACAAGCGATCGCCTTTTCCATCGCATGTCTTTGTACTGGACCGACTCCATTTCAACCTCCAGATTATTTCCACATCCCTAGGAGCAAAGGTAAATATATTATCGAAGTCATTTATACTGTTTCCGTCACTGTATGCGAGACCTCAAATTGTGATACATGTATAGAGTAGCTTTGAGCTTACTTAGAATTTTTGTTGTTTTATTTTACTGTTCATTTTTACAGTGTAATATTATTGCCGATCCACAATCATATTGAACGTTGTAAAAAATAAATTTTTTTCGCAATAAGTCATAAAGACCAATATATCTAAATTTTAGATTGGTTTGTACTGCAGATTGTATATTTAAAGTACTCACAAAGCCAATTCGGCGCAGCCTGGCTGTACTTACTCACTTGTCTTTTTCTTAAGGTTTCGAATTATTATAAAAGTCGATAAGAAATAGAAAAAGAAATATTTGACTAGTTTAATCGTGGAATTCACTCGTAAATTAGAAATGATATTCATTTCAGGTACGTTCTGGTGATTAATTCTAAAAAAAATCTAGTTTCTAGAATTTTCTTTCTTTTAATAGACTATACGTGTTTTATATTTCTTTTCATAGCGGATACAGAGGATGTAAAACGGCAAACTGAGACACTGAAGGAAAGCAAAAGTCTTTGAGAGCTCCCTACAGTACAGTACCTTTTCCACTGACAGATGAATGATAATCTACCAATCACTCAAACGTGGTGTTCCAGGGAAAATTATGTCACGGTACTGACACGTTCTGACATCCGTTTTCACACGTGAGTGCCGGATGTTGCGACGCGATGCGTAGGGTGATTGCGTGACAAATGACTACTGCGTGATGGCCAATGTTAACGACGTTGTCATCCTTGTTGTGAATTCCTGCGAAGCAATATGTTGGTTAACAGGTGGACACAACAAGCAATATTTGTGGATTATAACGTGTACAAAAGCGGCAATGTATGTAATTTTCGCTGTAAATTTTGAGTACAAAACGTTGAATAAAATGATTTGAGAATAACATACGCTGGTATTAATATTCTCCGCATTCGAATTTTCTAGATCGCAGGCGTGACATTACGTCGTGTCTATGAAAAGAAATTTTTAGTTTCGTTGCGTTTTCCCTTTCCCCCGCCTACACAGTAAACAGTATTTAACAGAAACAAAGGAAATCTAACCACAGAAATAAATATAGTGAGGCAAAAACAAAGGCTGTTTTGAATAAAATAAAAAGCAATTAATGACTGGCTAAGTGTACCGATTTGTCACCCTTTGGTTGGACCAAGGTCATTGCTGAGAGAGCTGTGTTCATTTCCCTTTAACGATGTTAAAAAAACTTCAATACGCTCTATCAGAATAAACTGTTCATTCTGAGAAAGTACAAGTCATTTTTAGTAATCCCTACTTCATCCCAGGGAAATTACTAAAAACGTCTATTTTTTGATATCAAAATGTTTAGGGTTTTTGTGTACTAAAACGGTAATGTATGCATTTTCCGCCATCTCTGCGAAAACTGTCGAAAGTTTGCATTGAACCTTGTGAAATGTGTCAGGGAAGAAAAAGTGTACGTTACCACATAGCCTGCGATCATACCTTCCCCTCCTTATATTCAGACGTGGAAAAAAAAAAACGCCTGATCGCAAGTTAGTTACCACATGGTACGAACTTTTGTCACTAATAACTACTTCCCTCTCATTGTCAGAAAGGAGAGCAGGAAAATGTAAGCTGTCGCAAGCAATTATGCTTTCCTGTCAGTCAATGAGACTGAATCTCAACTGACACCTAAATATAGAGTTTGGTTGAGCGTTTCTTAGACGGCTGGGAGGGTCTGGCCCCGGCTGGAAGGGCCGAGAAGGAAATGCTGAGAGCTAGAGAAGTGGCCTAGAGGGGTTGGGATGGGGGCGGCTGAGATGGGGAGGCGGAGTGCATCTGCTTCTCTGCTCCTCTCCTCTCTCTTCTCTCCTCTTTCTTTCCGCTTTCTCCGCCCCATCCTTTACACGAGAGCCTGTTCACAAGCTAAGCGTTTCTTTTGCCCTCAGACAGGCTTTGCTAGCACTGAGTTCGATTGTAGCCGTGAATTCCCTGCGCAAACGTTTTCAAATATGTTACGCATACCGGAGCGAAGTGTGAAGGGATCGTAATATAAAAGATGAAGCGCAAAATTTAAATGTTTCAACGGATCCTTGTGGACAAAGTTAATTCAAGTTATCTGTTGTTGTTGCTGTCATGTTGTATTGCCCAGTTTCACAAATAATTTCACTTTCGTCTCATCTGCCTGGTAAAAAATTGTGCGGTGAGCAGAGATTGTCTATTGCCATTAATAAATAACAAAGCAGCTATTTGTGAAACCAAGCAACTACTTTGTTTTTCTGCTTTCTGCTTCTTTCCACCAAGAGCACGTTTTTCCAGTTCAGCCTCAGTGCTCGACTAACAACGAGAGAAAGAGGCCTGGGACTGCTCGTTGTGTTGGTCGAAGAAAATGCATTGACAACTGTGAACTAATAATAATAATAATAATAATAATAATAATAATAAGCATTTATATAGCGCTTTTTCCATAAATGTCCAAAAGGGCTTTCCAGTGTACGTAGTAAAATAAAATTATAAATACAAATATAATTAAACAACTTTGGTTATACAAACAGTGCCAAGTTGTTTTATTAGTGTTACGTCGTTACAGTTACTCATTCCCTCCCACAAACTACATGATTATTAATCTGGTAGCCTACCTACTATTATGAGCTCAAGATTTCTCCATATATATGGCGCGTGATAGTTGACGAGGGCGCGGTTATCACTCATAGAAATCGAGAGCGAATGATCTAATTGTTTGAGTTAAAATCTGCTAGTCGTTCAAAACTTTGTCTCATTGAATCCTCTTTACAGACACTTCGAAAGCGCAAAGAAGCAGCCTTTTATTTGTTAACAACTGCACTCTGCTGAGCTACTCACTATCTACAACAGAATAGATAGTGGACTGCGTAGCCAATCAGAGAACGGTATTCGTGATAGAACGCTAGTAGATTTATACCAAAATCAGATGGTTAATATACCACCACGACAATGGAATTTTCTCACTCTTGATCACATCTCTTTAGTATACATTTTTTTGGTTACACATATACATTCACTCCTAACGAATTCAACAAAAATGTACAGTTTTTACAACAATTGATGACCCGTTCACCAGATACAAAAATAAATTTCGGCAATAGTGTTTCTTTCGGTATTGTTCTGATTAAGGGAAATACTGTATATACATTCACTTCACAGAGGAAAATAAAAATAACCACAGTTGCACTGTACTAATAACAAGCTATACTTGAATTTTCTAAGCATGCCAACAGATAAGTCCCAGTGGCACGTTATGTTTAATTGAAATATAAATTGATTTGCCAACATTTTACTGCTCCAGTAAACTTGAAAGTACGCCACGCTATCAAATGCGCATGCGTCAAGCAGAATTAAAATCTCAACAATTACCCAGAGCCTTTTGTATTGAAAAGCCTCGGAGAGCTCAGAAAACAAAAGGATCTAAAAGCCATTTTTATTTCTGTTTAGTTTTGTTGAACGACTGAATTGAGAGTGGCTGATATGAGGCAAACCACCAATGCACAAAAGGTGTTTCTTGTGCCATAGTCCAATTGCGTAAGCTTCAGTGACTAACGGCTAATACCAGCTGTCCCGCGGGTTGGGGGATGCGTGGGGCTCAATAACGGAACATCTTGCCCTCATGAGACTGTTATCTGTCCACTGAAACTAAAATGACGAATCCATAGCTCACCGCTATAAACGATTTGGACCTTAAAATCGCGCCCCGTCGCAAACGACATGAGAAGGCGGATTTTACAAGTCTTTTTTACTAGTCGTCGATAGTTCCTCATTGGCTAGGGGTCTAAAAGCGATACACACTATCTTTCATGTCTTCTCTCACAAGAACAATCTGCTCTCCCATTCTGTTGTTTGCTAGTGATTTGGTATGGCTTGCCTAGCACGCTGTTTCGATGACTGTAATAAAACTGATTATTTTCATAGAACTGAGTCGCCCAAATAATGGC